CAAAGCAATGCCAAGTTGAGTAAGACTCAAAGTCCGAGTACCGAAGCTGAGATAGCTGAAATGAGCCGAGTTCCATACGCTTCCGCAGTTGGCTCAATCATGTACGCTATGACTTGTACTCGCCCTGATGTAGCCTTTGCTTTGAGCATGGTTAGTAGATATCAAGGGAATCCTGGCAGAGCCCATTGGATTGCGGTGAAGAATATCCTTAAGTACCTTCGGAGGACGAAGGAATGGTTCTTAGTCCTTGGAGGGAGTGATGACTTGAAGGTGCGAGGGTATAGTGACGCCAGTTTTCAGACCGACAGGGACAACTACCGTTCGCAGTCGGGCTGGGTCTTTACCCTGAATGGAGGAGCAGTGACTTGGAAAAGTTCCAAGCAGGAAACCGTAGCTGATTCAACGTGCGAATCAGAGTACATTGCAGCGAGCGAAGCGTCGAAGGAGGCAATATGGCTGAAGAACTTCATTGGTGATCTTGGAGTTGTACCTGCCATAAAGGAGCCCATGGAGATTTTCTGTGATAATGAAGGAGCGGTTGCCTTGACCAAGGAACCGAGAGATCATGGTAGATCACGACATATCGACAGAAAATATCACTTTATTAGACATCGTGTAGAAGAAGGACAACTCGTAGTGAAGAGGATATCATCAGAAGATAACCCACAGATCCGCTTACGAAGGGACTGAGTAGGGTTAAGCACTTGCAGCATGCTAGGAGTATTGGGCTGAAGGATGATATTAGCATAGATTAGATAGTATTAGAAACGTGTAATAGATAAATGTAATTAACATTTGATGATTAAATAAAGGAGTTTTATTTATAAGTAATGTTACTGTCTTATGTTAATTGTTTAACTATTGTTTCACTTTGCATGTTTTGACTTCCAGAATAATTGAGTTTATTAAGAATAATCGAATTATTCAAATTGTCCACAATCGTTCATATGTTGGAAGTAGATATGAATGAAGATTGTCATGAATAGGAGTGTAGAGTGTCTAAATGGTATTAGACATAGCAAAAGATTGCTGCAACGTTCATGAGTGCTTATGAACTAGTTTTGAGCATTGGAACAAACCCGCGCTTGCTGGAATCACCTTATGGAATGTGATATAAAAGGTGATCGCAAGACGATAATATCATATAGTCTTAAAACCTAGATATATGGTTTGTTATTTGTTAATTGATTGTACATTGATAATGCGAAAACGCATTGGTAAATCGATGTTATAAAACGCATTGTTGTGTATAGTTGGTTAATGAATAAGTAAATGCATATAAGTCGAAGTTTATCTGTAACTTTTATCCTAAGAAGGAAAAAGTGATATCTCGGCCGCTCGATGATTTGATTTGACTTATGTGCCGGGCCCGGTCAGAACTGAATTGATGTGTTCGATTAAGTTCTATGTCAAATAAATCGGAGATCGAGAAACCAAATGCTAGACTAATCATTCCATAGAATTGTCAGCATGATATCTAACAGAGGACTGTACGATCCCTTATCTAAAGGACAAGATTGATTAGATCAGAGTTTGATAGCGTCTTTGAGAGCTACGATTGCAAATCGGATTGTACTCGTGCATATAGTTACTAGACTTATCCAAGTGGGAGACTGTTGGAATAGTGTCTAAGGCTGCAACTATATTAGGCAAGTATTTGACCCGATTGTGCATGGTCCTTTTGGGTTGCCTTCACCATAACAACTTGATAGGATTATTTATTATGAGAGAATAGATATTATTAATATATTATGGGAATAATACAATGAATAATAATATTGTTATTTGATTAATATAAGTCATAGATTAATTAGTATTAATTTGGTGACTTGAAGAGATTAATTAAATAAGAGGGTATAAACTGTCAATTGTTTGATAGTTACACTTTGGGCTGTAAATCCTTATAGGATAGAGGGTGGACAATTTCTAGGGCTAAGGATAGCCATAAAATCGTCCAAGGCATATCTTTGATAAGTATTAGGATTGCTTAGAGTCTAAGTTATCCAATTAGGGTTTAAGGGTGAAACCCTAAAGAGCCTTACAAGTATAAATAGACCCCTTGGGATAGGGAAATCGTGACCTCCTCTACAGCAAGGAAACCCTGGCTGATTTCCTCTTCTCTCCTCTCTCTCAAATCATTCTCTTTGCTAGTTGGTGTTTGTAAGCCATTAGAGGAGTGACAATTGTGACTCTAAAGCTCCAAGAACAAGAAGATCAAACAAGTGTTTCAAGGTATGCTTCTAACTCTGGTTTTGTATTGTTCTTATACCTAATTACCCATTAGAAGTCTTGGATTCAATGCATGTTTAATTAGAGAAACCTAGATCCAAGCATTAGGGTTTGTATGTGCACATAGGAATGTTCATATGACCAAAACCCATCATGTAGTTCTTGGCCTTAGAAATCTTTAGCACCTCAAGTGTGATGCCTTTAATGTGTCACAAACACCAAATGCAAAAGGAGGCTTGAGAGAATATCACTCTCCTAGAATGAATGGGCTACCGATTTTCGCTCTAGGGGTTGTTTTTATAGTGTTACAAAGGCTAAGGTTTCATTCATGCAAACCCTAATGCACCATGACTCTTCATATTACTTAAGCTTCATGGGTTAAACCTCCATGGACTATCATATTGCTTTAGCCCATCCTAATTAACCATGAATCATTAGCCCACACTATAAGAATCATTGATTTACTTAATTAGTCACCGTATATTTAATCAGTCTCTTTTGATCATTAAATTAATTTCAAATCAATTCTTGATCAATACTAATTAAATAATATGATTTCTCAATTAATATATTATACTTATAATATATTAATAAATCACAAATAACCTTATTCTCAAAAGTCCATCCTATCAACTTGTATTGGTGAAGGCAACCTAAAAGGACCATGCTACTATCGGGTCAAGTACATCCCAATTATAGTTATGGGCTTAGACACCTAATCTAACATTAGGAACACATGATATGTTAATTAAAATACGTTAGGATCGTTAGAAATCTTAAAAAGATAGTTTATTAGGATTAATAAAAGACAATCCCAATTATATTATGTTAGGGTCGTTAAATATCCTGAAAAGATAGTCATTTAAGATCAATAAAAAATATCTTAAAAGATAGTAGACTATATAAATAAATAAGAAAGGTTTTCACTAAAGAAAAGTATTCTTAATAGGAATTCAAAAATTCAAAATAAAAATTTGTGCACTTACCAATATTTTGTTGACTTTCAAAATACATGTATTCTTAGGAATATAAGTATGGAAGAATGTCCCCTGGAGTATGAATGAAGTTTGCAAGGAAGTTGTTGAAATTTAGTATAGTTATTTCAGGAGTTTGTGCTTGTCCCTAAAATAGTGTAATCATTCAAAATCAATAATAAATAAATATTTAAAAATATATATATTTTTGTTTGATTGTACTTGTTGCCGAGATCTAATTTTACCTACGTTGCACTGCCCGGTGTTTCCGCCAACGGATGGGCAGGGTGTGATGACGGTGGTGGTAGTTGGTGGTGATGGTGGCAAACGGTGGTAGCTGTCAGTAGTGATAGTCAGCGATGATGGTGGCAGGCGGTGGTAGCTATTGGTGGTTACAGTCGGTGGTGATCATGTCAGCCATTATGGGTGATATATTTCTTTTTATGTGTGTGTGGGTTTTGTTGAGACATAAAAGACAAATAAAATAAAATGGCTTATTGCCTAACGGTATCAGGTGGTGCCTCACTCATTGAGGTCGATGGTTCAAGCCCCGTTGTGGATCTATATGATATTAAATGTTAGTTTAAGAGTAGATTATATATATATATATATATATATATATATATATATATATATATATATAGGGAAAAGGGAATATACATTACAGCCCCACGTAAGCTTAGGTACTAAACCTCTTGAAAATACATTGTTTTACTATATAAAGATTACAGTTAATGGATTCACGATTAATATTTCAAGATGTAAATTCAAGATCGATACAATAGGGTTTAAGGTTTACGGATTAGGATTTAGATTTAGGGTTTAGGGTTTAGGTTTAGGTTTAGGGTTTAGGATTTCAGGTTTAGATTTAGAGTTTAGTGTTTAGGTTTAGGGTTTAGGGTTTAGGGTTTAGATTTAGGGTTTAGGGTTTAGATTTAGCGTTTAGGGTTTAGGGTTTAGGATTTAGGGTTTAGGGTTTAGTAATGTTCACTTGGGTGAAGTAATAAACGATAATTGAAGAAAGAAAACATGGATGGTAAAACAATAATGAAAGAAAGAAATGTTGTGGAGGATGATATATTTACCAAGTGAAACCAAATTAGAAGTTTATATACCCGATTTGGTTTCACTTGGTAAATATATCATCCTCCACAACATTTCTTTCTTTCATTATCGTTTTACCAAATTCTGTTTTCTTTCTTCAATTATCGTTTATTACTTCACCCAAGTGAACATTACTAAACCTAAACCCTAAATGCTAAATCTAAACCCTAAACCCTAAATCTAAACCCTAAACCCTAAACCTAAATACTAAACTCTAAATCTAAACCCGAAATCCTAAACCCTAAACCTAAACCTAAACCCTAAATCTAAACCCTAATACGTAAACCTTAAACCATATTGTGTCGATCTTGAATTTACATCTTGAAATATTAATCGTGAATCCATTAACTGTAATCTTTATATAGTAAAACGATGTATTTTCAAGAGGTTTAGTATCTAAGCTTAGGTGGGACTATAATATATATATATATATATATATATATATATATATATATATATATATGCTGGTTAAAAAAATATAAATAAAAATTATAAATTAAATTAATTTATATTTCAACAATTAAAAAAATAACAAAATAATATAAATTATAAGTGCATAATCATCTCTTTAAGTTTAGGGACAAAAACAATAATCAGATCTCAAGTTAAACCGTACTATCAATTTTTTTTTTTGAAGCGTAAGAACCATCAAACTTTTTTATTAGGCAGAGACAAAATTTTACAAACCATAGAACCATTTTTGCATTTTTCTCTTTTTATCGCTTTTTTATTTTTAAGATTTTTATGAGAAAATAGTGTCGAACCGTTGAAGATCTCTTGGCAGTTGGACCACAAAACACAAGGCTGGTCAAAGCACTACTAACCTTTCTCACAGAAGTTTCAAATTGAAAAGTTGTGGCAACAATGACGACTGAAGAGGACAAGTCAACAAGTTTTACAGAAATTCATTAAGATCTATTTTCTTGTGATCCAAAGATGTAAATCTAAAACCCAAGAAAAACTTGTGTTTGTTCATTCATTCCTACGATTTCGTCTCCAACAAAATTATGAGTCCGCCTCATCAGCATCACCCGTCGCCGCCGCCGACTCATCAGCATCATCCACCGCCGTCGACTCATCAGCATCACCCGCCTCCTCCACCAACACATCAGCATCACCCGCAGCCTCCGAGACATCAGCATCACCCGCCTCCGCCGCCTCATTACGGTACTTTCCCGGGCATTGACAACCATCCTCCTCCTCCTCCGGCGGTAGTCGTCGTCCATCAGCATGTTCCACCTCCCGGGGCATCAGGTGGACCTTCGATCAACCCTTATATCCATGGCTACCAGGCTGTCCCAGGTATGATAATGTCAAACTCCATAGAAGATCGAAGTCAAATACCTAATCAATACCGTTGATTCTTACCTGTATCTAAAGATTTGCAATCTAGATCTACTTGATCAAGTGAAACGAATTACAAAGAAAACAGAATCAATTCCATTAGGTTTTTGCAGGCTTGTAATAGATTCCTACCATGCTGATTTTATCTGAATCACCATCAATTTCTAGAAACGGCAACGACAACAATATACCCAATTCCCATAAAACTAATCATTATTTCTAGATCAACCCTATAAAGACATTGACATTTGACCTCTTTTTGAGTTAAAAGCAAGGGTTGGGAGGAGGCTACTTATGCCTACACCAGTAAATGTTTCGATTGATGGAGTATGGACACATGATAATAGGCAAAAAGATCTCTCTCGAGCAAAAAAAGAACCCCTGTCCATGACATTGGCATTAAAGTTGTCATGAAGCTTAATTTATTGATATGAATGATAACTTATTTGAAGATATATTAAACATTCTATATGATGCTTCAGGTTATGCAGTTGCTCAAGGAAGACCAATGGCCATGAGAGGACCTCAGCTTTGCTGTCGTTTATGCCTTTTGTAAGTTGTCATCTTGAGAAGCGACTTCTTACTATACTGACACTGTGATCCATATTTAGTAAATTATTATTGTCAATTTGGTTTAACATCGATCTGATTTTTTATATTTTATTCTCTTGAAGTATCATTATTGGTTTCCTCGTTGCTGCATTCCTCTGGTTCTTCTTCTATGCGCTATTGAGATGATAAGCACGGGAAACTTGGATATGTCGGGTGCCTATCTGCTGTAAGATTTATATATTAATCTAATTGTAATTTATACATAGTTGGTGACAAAATATAGCAAATGTTGTGAGTAAACAATCATGACGCACCATTTCGTGTTGAAACTTGCAATGTGAAAAGTGAAAACAGTTATGAGACAAAAAGTCATTAAAATCCAAAGACTTTTTATTATTATATGTTCGTTTGTTTTTTCCCTGTACATTATTATCATGACACACCATTTGGCTGTGTATGGTTTCATCAAAATTTGGTCTAATTATATATTTTTATTTAAGGGTATTTTAGTCTTTTTACCACAGAACTGAAAACTCACGGTGGTGTTGTGGAGGTTCTTGTGCAAAATCTATCTCTATTAGAGTGTCTTGTGTAAGGGCAATATCGTCATCTTTTAAAACTTATGTGGTATAAGGGCAATATCATCATTTTTTAAAACTTAACATCCCTTCTGTTAGCCTTGTTAAGTTTGGGACCCAATATGTATTGAAACATTGCAATATAGATCTTCCATGATAAAAAGCCAATACTAAGACCAAAAGTGATGAATTATGCAAACAAAAAGGACCAAAAGTGTGATTTACTCTATATTCTTTATCTATAAACGGGTCAGTGGGTAACACTAAAAGATTTAGTTAAAGTGGAATTGTTTTATTCCAAAAAGTTGGGTCATTGGTTTAATACCTTTTCTGATTGTAGGCTATTTTTGGAACAATTGATGTGATTTGTGGTGTTACAAGCATTTGAGATCATTTGTATAGAGCTACAAGGTGCTAAAAGGTTGACTAATGCATATATTAAATGTATCCAGTTGAGTCTCCCTTGTTTTTTCTATTTAAATGTTTGTATTATGCTGATAATTGCATCTGCTTTGTAGTTACATGACCCTTACATACAAAAAAGTTTGTGTAGTATTACTAGTTGTAACTTGTAGGTTTGTCAAGGAAACTCTTTTTAAAAATAATAATGTTTGGGTGTGTGATTATGATTTTATCTATTGTAGCTGGCTTTTCGCTATAAATAAACTGTTTTCCTTGTAACCCAGGAAATCACAAGGGTTAAAAACAATGTTTTGAAAATTTTCTTTGTTCTCAATTTATGCAAACAAATTGGTTTTTTATATGGAATATGCAAGACGTTTTCATTTTAGGATCAAAAGTTATGTCATTTTATTGGAAAATGCAAGGCGTTTTCATTTTAGGTCTTTTTCTTTGTTCTCAATTTATGCAACAAATTGAGCAATTTAGAAGAATGTTTCCAACATAATAGATCAATCCTAGACCCCCTTAGGTGTTAGAAATGAATTAGATGGGAATAGTGACCATTTGGTTTATTTGCTCATAAATCAAGAGAACGTACATTTACAAGGTCGTGTAAAGGGGCAAGCACAAGGATAAACTATCATCTAATCTTCTGTTAAGCCATACAATAAATTACAACATTGATTTGATGGCCATTTGGATTCTACCAATGGGTTCTTAAGACCCACATAAAATTGATTTAGAGATATTTGGGATAAATTAGGTTTTAGATAACCTAATTTAATTGAATGAGACAAATTAACTATGGAAGCATATTTAATTGATAAATTGTAGGTGTTATTACCAAAGGACTCATAGCCTAACAGTACCAAATGTTGTTTTCTCTTCTTGAGGTCGAGGGTTCAAGTTGGATGATCCTCACATACATCTATATCACGTGGATATTTAGCATAAATTATGTGTAGAAAAATATAAGTTAGGGCTTAACGCCCCATTTTGTAAAGGGCCCCACTTAAACCAAATCCTGTAATGTCGATTATTCCAATCTTCCATAGCTTCTATTTTCGGTTTCTGCATTCACTGATACATTACACACATAAAATTAAAACGACAATTACACTTCTTTTCTTCTTCGCTTCTCTATTCTCGCAGACTTGTACTCTGGATCTCTGATTGACTAATTCTCCGTTCTTGATTCTAGTAGACATCTCCAATCTCGTTCTTGAATCGCTGAAGAGTGAAAGAAAGGTTGTTTGATTCGGTGATTTCTGAATCGCTGAAATAACTTATGCCTTTTGTTCTTCTTCCTTCTCCATTATCGGCTTCTCTAAAGGCTTTGATGATTCAAGGTATGTGCATTTATGTATTTTGTTGGTATCTTCTGGTATCTATTAGGGTTAATTGCCGACTTTTTTCATTATCTGTTTCTATTTTCACTTGATTCCTTCTATTCTCGATTTTTTTTCTATTTGTTTTTTATTTTTTAGTTAGTGTTTCCATTTATTTTTTTTGCATTGTTGGTATCATAAGGAATATTATAGAAGTTTAAAGGTTTCTTGCATCAATACAAGATATTAAAATTTATATGATACCTTAATCCATTTTCATTATTTGTTTTCACTTGATACCTTAATTTGTTTATATCTTGTGTTTTTTGTGAATTTGTGTTTATTGAATTGACTGTAACAATTGTTTTAATAATCCTGCAAGTTTGAGTTCTCATTTTAATTAAAACACTGCAAAGTTTTGTAGAAAAAATAAGGTTTGTAGTGGAGATATGGAAACCAACTTGGATCGTGTGAACACTTTTTGAACTGATGTTTCTACCCTATGTTTGTGTTACAAGAAATTCAGTCTAGGATAATCCAAGAGGATACTTAAAATTCTAGGCACAGAAATCGTAAGCCAATTTGCTAGAAAGATTGTGTGAGTGTTTGAAGAAAAACGAGAGCTAATTTTCGTGTGTTCCTTTTCAAAAGGAAGAGTTGTTTATATAATAAACGAGATTAGGGTTTCGTTAGGGTTGGGCTGTCATGAGTTGCTTTAGAAGCAAGTCAGTGTAATCCAAATTTTAATGAGTATTTAGGGTTTCCAAAACTAACAAGTTTCATTAGTTTTACCATAATCACCCTCAAGAATCTGAATTTCCTACTATGTTCTCATATGTAAAATTCAGAGAAGGACCCCAACCAGGGGCTCTGGCCCCTTGGACCCCGCTAGGGGCGCTGCCCCTATACCCTGCCAAAGGGGTGTCACCCCTTTAGAAACCCCAGACCCAGGGGGCTGCCGTCGAACCCCCGACTTGTCTTCGAACCTACTTCTAAGTTATTCTTATACATGCGTGCATGCAGCATAAAACCCGTACATATTTTAGAGTACAAATTATGAAATCACTTAGCTTACATGTTAGATCCAGTTACATAAAATTACACGGTGACATTAAAATCACCAACAAGTTTAAACAGAAAAAAAAAAATACAATCTTCATTTTTATATTTTTTTTAGGGTTAGACCGAATTTGAGTATTCCATTTGAGTTGTCCGTTATCTTCTATTTTCAAGGCAGCGAGTATTTCTATTAATCTATAATCCATTACTTCAAGTTTATTGTTTATTCATTTGTAAGTGTGTTGTTTGTTAATTTGTAAGTGTGTTGGTGATTGTTCATTATTATTAATGAAATGATTAATAATTATGTCTAAAAGAAAATGCCACTTACAAACTAGATTAAGTATAGTAAAGGCTAACGGGCCCTTAAATTTTAGTTTGCTTAGAGCCTCCAAATTAGGTGAACCGCCCTCACCTTACATGTGTGTATATCATATGCATTCTTGGTGGGCCTTGTGTATAGATCGCTTATTTTCCATGAGTTATTTTTGTTTTTACTATCATACTGAGATTAATTTCCAAATGGTGTATCTTGTATATGTAAATCATTTGTTTGACCGTGAGTCATTTTTTGGTTTGCTATCACATTTTGCTTGATTTCTATACGTTAATCTATGTATAACTTACATTTAACTACCAAACATAATATATATATATATATATATATATATATATATATATATATATATATATATATATATATATATATATATATATATATATTTGTCATTTGCATATGTGCTAGATGAAGAAAAAGAGATATTCACCAAAAATGGTCACTATTTATTATGGTACCCTTCAGCAATTTTCCAAAATGACCATGGAGTTCAGAAATTTACATTTTCAAACTTCTTATTTGTTTTTCAAATTCATATTTTCTGACAAAAAAACAAATACAAAAACTATTTGTTTGATAAAATCCTAATTTTCGAGTTTTAGATTTTCAAATTCCTATTCATTTAGAAAAAACTAGTTTAAAAATCCAAATTTTCGAACTCCTATGAATTTTAAACATGTTATTTCGATGAGTTTTGAACAAGTTATTTGTTGCATATAATTTCCAAACATACTTTGTCTATGGATTTCAAACATTTTCTTTATATGTATACATAAGGTTATTTGTTGCATATAATTTCCAAACATATTTTGTCTATGGACTTCAAACATTTTCTTTATATGTATACATAAGGCACAACTTATGAAGTTATTGGTACAATTCATGATGATGTTATCATTAGTAAGATCAAAGATTTGATAACATCATCCCAAATACACGTAACTAATTTATGGTATCAGAAAAGGACAAATTTGACCACTCAATGGGAAACATGATTATTAATAAAATCTCTATTTGCTATGAAATAAGGTGTTTTTTTCTCATTCGAGATTGATTAGGGCTTAAGACATATCTTTTATACCTTTTCTTTGTATGACTTTGTAAATCTTCTAAATTTTATGTTATATTTAGATAATTGATTAGGAACCTTATCATACTCATTTTTGTGTGCTAGAAATCACAGGAGAATCTTTTTTTTAGGGGACAAAAATCGGGGTTTGACCATTATCTTATTCTCCTTCAAGTATTAGTATTATGTTGATGATTATCACTATTAGGATTGAAGTTTATCTTTTTCTCCTATAAGTATTAAGGTTTATCCTCGTTTGGATGTCATACATTTTCCATTGAAATGCTATAAAAACTAAAAAAGGAAAGATAAATTTGCAAAATATATTGGTCATTTTGTTATATGTTTATGGATTTTGGAAAATTAGAAAAGAATGTGATCAAAGTAATCTCCTCTGCCTCTCTCATTAAACAATTAGAATATATACATGACTTAGGACAAATATCTTGGGCCTCATAGGTATCTAACATATGACAATACATATAATACAATAAATAATAAATATACTCTAACAAAAGAAGTTATAAAAAGTTGTGGTTTTTATAATAAATATACTTTAACAAAAGAAGTTCTAAAAACTTGTGGTTTTTATTGAAAGAGATACATTTCCTTCACCTATAGAAGGGTGGTTCGTATTTCACTTGCATCAAAGTATTGAGTTCTCTCAATATAAATTATCTTTTTTTTTCTCTCTCTTGTTCTTAATGTTCTTATTCCTTGATAGCATTATTTTTCTTTATCTCTCTTGTTCTTAATGATCTTATTCCTTGATATTATTGTCTCTCTTTTAATCGTAATCCACTTAGTTCCAGATATTATCATAGTTCTTATCTTGTATCCTATATTTCCCCAATTGTCTTCTTACACGTTTCCATTACATAAAATAAACATGGCATTTATTTTTATACATAACAATTTATTTCATATACTAATTTCAATTTACAAATGAATAGTATATTTTAAACTTCCATATTTGGCCATAATAGTTTTGTATATTGACAAGTTTGGTCCTTGGAATTTTTGGGTTTCAAACTTTCACCACATGACTTTTGTATATTGATAGGTTTGGTCCCTAGACTTTCATATATAAACCTTCCTTCGTATATTAACAAATGAATAGTATATTTATAGCTTTGGTACTTTCGCCACAACATTTTATATATTGTCAGGTTTGGTCCCTAGAAATTTTGGGTTTCAAACTTTCACCACAAGACTTTCATATATTGAAATGTTTGCTCCGTAAATTTTCATATATTGCTTTGGGTTTCAAGACTTTGGCAACATGGTTTCGTATATTGGCAAGTTTGTCCATATACTTCTTTATTTCGGCAGATTTGGTCCCCCCTGCAAAGCAAGGGTAAGATCAATTATAGTTTTTGTTAATTAAGAAATAGATACCAAACTCAGTTAATTAAATAGTTTTCTTTTATCAAATAGTTTCTTGGTTCAATATACTTAAACATATTACTACTATGATATATCACAAAGTGCTAAAAGGAACTTGGTGCAATATCTCGAAGTGTTGGATAGATTTTGA